TTTTATATAGTGCAATAAAAGGGTAAGAAAACTGAATGGAAGTCCCAAAGAGAAACCTCAAAAATATTGCTCCTTCAACTTTTTGAAAGAATAGCCCCAGCTTCTGTAAGATAGAATGATGGGTCTGAGTACAGATGTGGTTAAGGAGCTGTGTCTGGCTGTAATGTGGGCAGGAATGGGAATGATGGGATGCCAGCTGCTATGTCAATAGGAGACACTGGATTGCAAGGGGGTTACATGTGTGGGGCCATGGGCTCATCAACTTTGCAGCTTTGAGCTGAGCTCTGACACTGCATGGCCTGCTCCTGCAATTCCATGGGGCGTCACAATGTCCATATGGCTTCCTGTGGCTCTAGAGGCCCCACTGCTCTGTGTCTTTTCCACGTCATCCAGGGAGCAGGGGTAGTCACGGCTCCAAAGGCTAGTCAGGACTAGTTCCTAGTCCTACTATCATTTGATGTTTACCTTGGACCTGTCCTTAAGATTTTCTGCATGGTCTCCTTCCTATAAGAATAATGATGTGAAACAGATTATCTGCTGAACTTCAGCCCCTCACTTGAGAAGGCAGTGATCTGGGCATCGTCTATGGAGTCCTGGTACCTGTCAGTATCTCAAGTGGTATTTCCTTCTTACACACTTATCACCCACATCTAGTGATGCCCATCCGATGAGGTGCTGGGAAAGCATGATGAGCAAAGCAGACACAGAACTGCTCTCTTGGAGCTTAAAGCCTAGTGGGGGATGCAGACACTAACCAACCCCCACACAACCACAGCTGACACTGACACAGCTGAAGTTCAGGACACTACGAGTGCTGACAATAAGGGAGGGCTGGAGGAAGCGCCCCTGGTGGTGACGATGAGTTGAGACCTAAGAGACAGAGTTGACTGCTGGAAGGAAACAAGAGGCAGAGATGAACATCTGCAGTGAGGCAGTAGGATAGGCAATGTCCTAATAGTAGGGGCAGAGGATAAAGGACTAGAAGAAAAGGGAAGAGACAGAGACTAGACCACAGGTGGCAAACACAAGGCCCGCAGGTCAAATCCAGCCCTCCACCTTGTTTTATTTGGCCCAACACCTTGTTTCTACCCGGCGGCAGCACCGAGCTCTCTCTTAACAGCTGAGGAGTAGTTACATTTATACAGTCCTAAAATTACATTCGGCCCTTTGAAGGCAACCACAAGGCTGATGTGGCCCCTGGTGAAAATGAGTTTGACACCCCTGGACTAGATCATGAGACCACCACAGCAGACCAACTGCCCTAGGGGCAGTGAGAACCAGTCATGAGTTTTTAAAAGGAGAGCTGATCAGATTTCCACTCTGATCTTGACCTGCAAGACCCCTGACAGCAGATATAAAGCCTGGATTTCAGTAGCCAGAGGATATCTGAGGAAATCGTCAGATATTTCAGAAGCACCTGCAGCCTGGTGTGGCCTCCAGATGGGATGGAATTTCCAAAGTGGTGTGTGGAATTCGGAGCAAACGGCTGAGTGTCCTGGGCTGCCGAGTGGAAAGTCTCAACACTGAATGTGCCTCCACAATCTGGATGAAGGAAGGTGATCCAACAAACACCACAGGCCACTTCTGGCCTGGCACTGCTGGGAAGGGTCCCACCCAGTCTTGAGCCCTCTGATCTATCTGGCTGAGGTCAAAGAGGAAGGACCTGAAGTCCCAACCATGGAACCAGAAGGATGCTTGGGAGATCAAAGGGCTAGCCAGGTACCCTACACCCTGCCCAGCTCCCTCCACACCAGCTGACGAACGCATCCCCTGGCTTCTCTGGGTGCTGGCTGTTAATGGCTCACAGTTGCTCCCAGGTCCAGATAATCACCCTCAGCCACATGGAAGCCACCTGGCCTAGGAGGTAACATCTCTAGCCCCAGCATCCTACAGCAGAGACTGACTGTTTTAGTCACCTAGGGCTCCTATAACAAAATACCATGGACTGGAAGACTTAAACAATGGACTTTTGTTTCTCAAAATTCTGGAGGCTAAAAGGCTAAGATCAAGGTGAAGGCCCTGGCCAGATAGCTCAGTTGGTTAGAGTGTCATCCCCATACACCAAGGTTGCAGGTTCAGTCCCTGGAAAGGACACAGATAAGAATCAACCAGTGAATGCACACATAAGCAGAACAACAAATGTATGCTTCTCTCTCTTTCTCTCTCTCATCTAAAATCAATAAATAAAAAGTAAAAATAAGAAATAAGATCAAGGTGCAGGCTAACTTGGTTCCTAGTGAGAACCCACTTCCTGGCTCTTGCTGTGCCCTCACGTGTCAGAGAGAGAGAGAGACATCTCCTTCTCTTCCTTTTCTTACAAAGCTGCTCACTAAATCCCACCATGGGAGCCTTCATCCAGCCCTAATTACTTCCCAAAGGCCCATCTCCAAATACTATTTCACTGGGGGCGGAGCTTCAACATATGACTTTGGGGAGACAGAATTCCGTGCACCACAGCTCTGACTGATCCTCACAGAACGGCCCTCTGGCCTTAAAGGGGGGTGGGGGGGGAAGGGGGCTCTGTGCTGGACGCTGGGTCCAGACATCCATGGCACCAGGCTAAGGCTAGTCTTCAGCAGAGATCACACTCTCACTTCGCCTCCCCCTGCCCTGTCTTCACTCTTCTTCTCCCAGGAGCAGCCCCAATAAATCACTTGGACAAAAATGTCCATCTTGGCTCTATTTTTAGAGAACAGCAGTCGAATCATGAGGTTCTTTCCTCATCAATCAACCAACAAGCCTGTGCCAAGTCCAGACTGTGCCCAGCATGGTGAAGGAGCAGTAGCAGGGCACAGCGACCTGCAGTCAGGAGGCCCAGGTGCTGCATGTGACACCAGGCAAGTCGTTCAGCCTCACTGAGCCTTAGTTTCCCCTTCCATGGGAGGGCAACACACCACCTCTACTGGATGTTCCAACATCAAAGCACTTAGAAAACTACAAAGTGGGTTTGCAATGCTCACAGCTATCAATCAGTGCTATCAGAACTTCAAAGGAGCTTCAGGTTTCCTTCCCTTTCCCCTTGCTGTGGTTTCAATCATATCCCCTCAAAAAATATATTCAAGTAACCCCAGTACCTGTAAACATGGCCTTATTTGGAAACTGGGCCTTTGCAGATGTAATCAAGTGGGTCCCTAATCCAATGACTGGTGTCCTTATAAGAGGGAATTTGGACACAGAGACATGCAAGAAAGATTATCGCAATGACGATGCAGGCAGAGGGAAGAACAGCAAAGACTAATGGCAACCACCAGAAACTAAGAGAGGGGCAAGGACCAGATTCTTCCTCGGAGCCCTCCAAAAGGAACCAGACTTGCCGACACTTTGATTTCAGACTTCTAGCCTCAGAACACTTAGAGAATAGATACCTGTTCTTTTAAACCATCCAGTTTGTATTCTCCAGTAGGGCAGTGGCAGAAAATGAATATTCAGAGGCATCTACTAGGACTGCCTAAGAACCATTAGCCAGAGCATATGTGTGATGAAGAGGGAAGACTTTTACGATTATTTGGAGTAAGCTCCTGGAAGCATAACCTCTCTGAGCCTCAAAAGCTTCATAAAATGAGCACAGTAGATCTTTCACAAGGTTGCTGTGGGTAATGAAAGAGACAACATGTAAGCTTTTTAAAATTGAGATATAATTGACATATAACACTATGTACATTTAAGGTATACAATGTATGGATTTGATATATTTATAGATTATAATATGATTGCTATCATCCATCACGTCCCATAATTATCATTTCTTTTTTGGAGTGGGAACAATGGATGAACCTTGAGGACGTCATGATAAGAGGGGTTTGGAGCACTGTTCATTCAGTGAGTCCACCGGCGTAGACACTGCCTCAACAAATGATGGCCTGCAGAAAAGTTCCCGTAACACATTTGAGCCTGTGTAGTTCCTAGGATTTGACAGTAGAGGGCAGCAGGGTCTCATTTTTTTGCCCCTTCAGCACCAGGATGCTTGCTTAGTCCACGGAGAAAACCAGCTACTTTTGAACAAGTGACTGAAGGATTCTCTCCCAGAACCCCCAAGTATCCCCGTGGGAAGAAGTCAGCCACGTGCCTTCCTTTTAGAGGGAAAGGCAATTCAATGAATGCTCACTGTCAAGAACTTCAATTTAAAACGAATTATATTTTACGGGGATATTTTTCAACTTTTGTATGTTGCAGTTAAGGCCCCTCCCAGCCCAGGGCTCAGCACATCAGAGCTACTGAACCACTCTGGGACCTCAGAAACAGCCCACTTTTTGCAAAACCCATCCCTGTCACGACCAGTTTTCTAAGTTACCAAGTCATAAAACCTTAATTGTGTTACTTAGCTATAATATCCCATTCTCAGCCAGTTCAGTGTACAGTTTGACCTCAGCTTTACAGTGGCACAGTTACCAGTGCACTGCAGCCGGGCCTGCACTTTGCCTGAGCTCCTAGGTCAGAGCCAGGAACTTTTGAAACGGCCCACTACATGAGTGGCAGACGCCACGCTGCCCTCCACTGCCCAGTCTCACTGCACCTCTCCAGCAGGCTGTAGCACCCCCAATAAGTTTGGTACTTATTTCACAAGTACCAAAAGTACAGAGAATAGTACACCAGTGTAGGCACCGTCAGGTGCAAGAAAGAAATATTTTAAATACATGAGAAGTTCCCAGGGGCACACACTGCGTCCTCCTCCTCCCCAAGGTGCAACACTCTCCCAAATTAGGTGTTTCTCATCAAGATTCTATTCTTCCCACTGGAAATGTTTGGGAAAGTGCCCAGAGCATGACCTCTCTGCTATCTTAATAAAGGAACTAGAACTGCACACTCCAAAGATTCTGAAAGAAAGAGGGAAAGGGAGGGGAAGAGAGGGGAGTGGGGAGTCTCTGAGCCCAGCCACCCTGAGGTGTCCAGAGAGTGCTGGGTGCCTGCAGCAAGGAAAGGCTACATGCAGGAGCAGGAGGCAGCCTCACACAGCCCCATCCCGCCACCAGCCTGCCCTCGCCTGCCTTGGGGGCACCTACCAACCACGATGAGGATGTCCCTCTCGATGTGTGCCTGGATGTAGATCCGGCCTCGGCGCTCCGTGTGGTCTGTACCGCACAGGCTGGGGACATTCATCACGCAGCGTTTGTGGACGTTCATCATGCAGGCTGCAGGGCAGACGGGGAGACTCGGGTTGGCAGGGCTGGTGCTGTGGGCCTCTGTCCCCACCCAGGCTGGTTGGGCCCCTCCCATCTCCTCCTTCCCTTCCAGGCAGCTGAGACCCCCAAGCTTGGCCAAAATAAGCCTGCTCACCCAGGTCACATCCGAAAAGCTTCTCCAACTATCCTCCCCCCCCAGGCCTTCATGGGCACAGGAGGTGGAAATGGTCTGTCCTCCCAAAGGTTAATGGTGCACCCCGCACATCCCCAAGGGCTCTAAAGCAAGAATCACCACCTTCGATGCCAGGTTGCAGGTGACACCAGTGAGGGAAGAGAGGTGTGTGTGGTTGGACTTGGCTGACGGGACAACCCAGCCACCCACTCTGGCTTAGCAGTGGGAGGTGTGTGCCCTGGGCAGCCAAGGTTTCCCGCTTGTTAAGGTGAATAGCAACTCTGATCCGCATGTTACATCTCTCGATTTCTACATATTTACAGCTAATACGTTGAGCTCCCTGGGAAGAGTCTGAGAAGGTGAGCTTCGACGAGGTTTATGGCGGGTACCTCCAGAGAGAGGAGCTGAGGGTGCCCCAAAGCTGACAGTAAGGGGGCCAGGGCTCAGATGGTCCTTCAGAGTTGTCCCCAGTTGACAGCTGGGGCCTTCGCATGACAACGTCAGCCAGCTTTGGCCGTGGGCCACCCTCTGGGAGGGGCACCATCTTGGGAGAGACCCCTGGGCAATTCCCCACAAGGGCTGCAGCTGTGAACCCACAGCAGAAGGGTGGTGGGGAGATGGAGGAGAATGGGCCTGAACAGGGTCTGAGAGGATCCCCCAGAGTATTCATATACCTGGTTACAGGAACAGATTCCGATGTGGGCAAGAGGAATAAAATTAGTCTTTAAACTAAGTCTGACCAGCTCTGTCACATGTGTTATATGATTCAAGGATCCTGCCTCTGTCTGTGGTCTCTTCCCATCTCTATGACCCTGCATGAGCCTGTGTGAGTGCATGAACCCCAATAGTTGGCGTGGCACACTCACATTGGTCTGCCTATCCCTCCTCTTGCTTGAGTGAGTCTCTCTCTCACTGAGTCCTCCGTAGCTTTCGCCCCATCTCTCCCCGCACCTCAGCACACAGTGTGTCATCCATTGCCTGCCCCTGTCTGTACATGCCAGAGTGTTTCCATGTCTCCCTACATCTGAGCACATGTGTGTGTCATCCATGGCCTGCCCGTCTGTGTATGCCAGTGTGTGTTTCCATCTCTCCCTACATCTGAGCACATGTGTGTGTCATCCATGGCCCACCCGACTGTGCATGATGTAGTGTGTTTTCATGTCTCCCCACACCTCAGCACATGTGTGTTGTCCATGGCCTGCCCCTTGTCTGTGTGTGTGTATGTTTCCGTCTCTCACCCTCTGCCTGCCCACCCATGTTCACACTCTTCCCCATCACTCTGCCCCTGTGAATGTCTCCTGTTGTCGGCATCTCAGGGCCCCTGTGACAGCTCAGCCCGCTGGGGGCCGACAGGCCTTCAGGATCCTTCAGCCCCCTTAGTCCCTGTCCCCATGCAGCCAGTGCTCTCAAAGTCTGCTCGCTCCCCAGTGCCAGCCATTCAGTCCTTCGCTTCACAAAGAGAAGCCCTGCCATCACCTGCCTTCCCCCACTTCAGCCTGGCCAGAGCATCATCCTCTTCCCTCTTCTAGCATGAACCGTGGGTGTCACTGGGAGGCAGGTCTCCTCCGTGCAGAGAGGGCACGCAGCCTGCACGTCACGATGGAAACAGCTGCAAGGGCCCCGACGTGTCCACCCTCCCTGAGTCCACACTCGAGGACTCTCCCTTCCTGCACTGACTGTGAACCTTGCCCTATGATCTGCTTCAATCCATGGGACTTGTTCCCTTTAAGCCCGTGTGACCTTGCAAACTCCATGTGAGCACGCCCAGGCTAGCCTACTCAGAAGGTAAGATATGTGGCTCCACCATCCCCGTCTCCCAAATGACAGCCAGCCTTCTGGACAGACAGGTGAAGCCATCCAGGCCAAGACAGCCCTCAGCCAACTTGCTAACCGAGGACACATGCATGAGTACGCCCAGCCCAGACCCAAAGACTGCCTTGCAGAATCATGGGCTAAATAAATAGCAACGGTTTTAAGCCCCTACATTTTGGGGTGAGAGGATCATTACTCAGCAACATACCATCAGCCTAATAGCCTACCCAGGACTTGACAGAATGTTCTTTGGACCTGGACCCCAAACCAGCAGGAAGCAGCCCAGCTGCCCAAGAGCAAATGTACTTACTGTCACATTTCATGCCCTGGTGGATGAGTCCGTACAGCAGCGACCCACAGTGGTCGCAGAACGTGGGGCTGGAGTAAGTGTGGATCTTAAACTTGTGCTTGCTCCGGGGGTCCTAAGGCCAAGAAAAGCAGACAAAAGAGGCCAGCGTCAGTGTGGTGTGCCAGCATTTACCCTGCACTGAGTGTCACTGGAGAACGCACCCAGAACTGAACTTGGCCCCCAGCACTCATCCCACCTGGTAGAACCGTCACTGGAGCCCTGTGTCCGGACATGGCAGCTGATAAATCATGGCTGAGTGGGCGAATGAGTAAGAAGTGGGTGGCCCCGTTCCAGCCCCAGCACCCTCACTGTGCCTGCAAGGCCTCCATCTGAGAACCCAGCCTACTGGTCCCTGTCTGCAGCAAGGACTCCAGAGACAGTAAAACAAAGTGACAGACAGACCCAGCAGTTAAACAAGTCCACTGGCCCTATTCTTCCCCCTTTTATGCTCTGAGGAAGCTTCTGGAGTGATCTAAAACCCAAGTCTGGGCAAGAGGTCATTTGCTAGCACCTCAGCTCCAGGGAACAGAGTTCCAAGTCCAAGAGATAGCCCATAGGTTGTGGCAGAGACTGCTAGATTTGCACCAATATCCATTCTTCCCTTCAATAAGAAAATCCTTGAGTTTTAGTAGAGAGCATGGCTGCCCAGTTAGAGACCACAGTTCCTGGTTTCCCTTGCAGCTGATGTGCCTGAGTAACTGAGTTCTGGCCAATGGAGTATGTGTGTGGCAGGGTCAATTCCTTGAAAAGAATGTATAAACACCCCCAGTCCCTTTCTCCTTCACACTGGCTGGAAGATGGTGAGAACTGGAAGTGACCACTTTGGACCAAAAGTTGGAGCTGGGTGTGGAAAGGATGAAACCATCCTGACTAGCCTTGGACAGACATTTCAGAGGAAAGCCTACCTTCTGTCTTGTTTAAGTCACTGTATCTAAGGGCTATTTGTTACCGCGTCTTACACATCCCCTAACTGAAAAACACTACAGGCATCACAAGGGAATTTTGCTCAGCATCATATCCCAGGGCATATACTGTATTTGGCACATAGGAGGAGCTCAATAAATATTTAGTGAGCAAATGTTAACATTTATTGGGCACTGAGTCATGCCAGGAGCTATTTCAGGGCTGGCACCTGGGAACAAGCAGACTGTGAGGGGCTATTTCACTGGTCATTAACTTATTTAATCTTTTAACATCCCCATGAAGTACATTCCACTTACTGCCCCCACTTTACAGACAAGGAAACTGAGAGACTGGAGGTGCAGGGACTGGCCCAGGGCTCCCAGCCTTGGCAAGCACAGCACTGCCCACAGTGACCAGCAGGAAGAAGAGGTCAGTGAGTTGAGATGGGGATGTGTGTGGAGGGGGTGCTGCAATCACACTGCTAACCACTGACAGCCCCTGCAAATGCATGCATATTGAAGAAAATGACTGGAAGAGACCTGCACAAGACAGATTAGAGCCAGCCAGGAGAGAGGAAGACCAACCAGGCAAGTAGCAGGGGAAAGCTCTTTTTTCAATGGTTTACATAGAGGCTGCTGGAGGCCCCTCCAGCCTCACCCCCGCCTCAGCTGTCTGGAGGTCTCATACTTATAAGTACCGACCTCCTCCACCCACCGCTCCAACCCCTCCCACCACCCAGATCAAGCAGCTTGTCCCCTGATCAGTTCTGCCCCTCACTTCTTGCCACCTAGAGAGCTTGCAGTAAAGCCACACTGGGGTCCTCGTGACTCCACGATCCTCAGGGGGAATCCTCCAGGGTGCCTTTCTGTGCCTATCCTTGACCAGCGCCATCTCGGAGATGGGTGTGCTGGCACTTTCAGATGTCCACTCCCCCTGGACATAGGGGACTGGCAGAGAGGTAGATATTTGGTTCAAATGTCCCACATGTTTAGTGACTGAGCTGCAGGTGGCCAGGCATGCAGCCCCAGAGCTGAGGCGGCTATTTGCCACAGCAGGCTCCGAGGAACAGAGGAGGACAAAGACGAAGGTCACGGGACCTCAGAGACGGAGCTCCCCATCCCAGTCCCTCAGGGACCCGGCGCCCTGCCCTCCAGTTCCATCTGACTCCCATGTGCTCTAAAAATTCTTCTCCTTTGTGCTTAAGCCAATCCAGATAGGCATCTGTTATCTGCGATGAGGCTGATACTGACAACCGCTTTGGTTCAGGCACTGCCCACTGACCAGTCAGAATGGACCACGGGGCCTAGCTGTGCTGGGAGTTACCTCTTTAATTGCCAGGTTGTGGTGAGGTGCCGTGGAGAAGAGCATGGATGGGAGGTATGAGGCTCAGCAGGCCCAATGGCTATTTACCACTTGGGTTAATAGTATTTCAATATTTTCATAACTGGTACAGTAGTGTCAGCTCTGTCTTCAACCAAAATACATCCCTTTCCCAGTCTCTGAAGCTGAAGCTACTGACCCACCCTGGAATGACCTTGGGAATCCATCTATGAGGGAGGACCCCCCAAAAACAGTATTATCTTCTAGAGGGTGGGCCCCTTGTAGTACAGGCTTCCCCCACTAGGTGAGTGTTCTAGGAACCCATCTGTATCAGTGTAGCTGCTGGTGGTGTTGTGAGAGGCTGCATTCAGCTTCAGTGAACTTTTTTTAAGACTCTTTCAGTGTGTTTGCCCATTTCATAATGGGTGACTTACAAGCACACCTGCCCACACTGCACTGAGTGTTCAGCAGTCTTTGACCCAAAAAATGGCATGACCTCCAGGCCCCACCCTCCCTATTCACCTGATCTTGCCCCAAGCTATGACTTTTGTTTCCCCAGATGAAAAAAGTCCTCGAAGGGAATCATTTTGCCAATGTGGAAGAGGTGAAACAAAATACAGCAGAAGCACTAAAATGCATCAAAATCAATGAGCTCAAAAACTGTTTTAAGGAGTGGGGAAAAATCTCTATAGGCACATTGCGTCAAATGGGGAGTACTTTGAAGGTGACTGAAGTTTAAATATGTAAGAATAAATACATTTTTTATAAATAAATTTGAGTTTTGGGGGTTTCCCTCTTGTAACCTCTAAATCAGAGCTCTCCCTCCAGGTCTTGTTTTAATCCCTTCAAAGGCACAGCACCTGCCTCTGCCTCAATCCCTCCCCCTTCATCTTGTTTCACAGTCAGACCTCCCCCCACCCTAAGCCACACTGGGGGAGCCCTATGCAGCCTATCTCCATCGCTGGCCTGGGTCCTTCTTCAATGCTCAGAGGTCAAAATCTGGAGTCCTTGCTCACAAACCAATGTTGTAAATTTAAATAAGTTGATTTGAAAATATTTAAAAATCATGAAATGTCAGCTACAATGTAAATTTCTGGCTCCTTTTGAAAAATCACAAGTTGTGGCAACACTGTACCCACATTGCTATGGGCTGAGCAATGGTTGTCCTCTTCAGATAAAGGACACACTATCCAGTTCTCCACAGTCTGCACCATTCCCTATTGTATCACACCACACTGGCTCCACTCTTTCCCTTTGCACCTGGTCCCTGCAGGAGTTGGGGTTTGTGACTTCTGCCAGACACCCCTTCCTCAGTCCCTACAATTCATGGGGCTTGGATCCAACCACATGTGAGCACATTTCCTCAGGGCCAAGTGCTTTCAGAAATAGGGTTGAAACAATTGTATCCCTATCACAACATTTCCACATGATCTCTAGTCCCTGGTCCTCTCTGCCACCCCAAGAAATCAGGTTTCCATAGATCCTGATGTGATTCCTGTCCCTACTAATTCATGTGGCTCAGCACCGCCCCCCATGCTTTGTACTAGGTAAGCTTATATTTCCAAGTTTCCTTCCACTTCTGATCCTGATCCATGAGACTGATGAATAACCCCAAAATGATCATCAACTGTTGTGATTTCTACTGTCACCATGACCTAAGCACAGACTATCTGCAAAGCACTGTGCTGGATGGTCCTTAGCATGTCTTTCAAACTACATGACAGCCAATGAGGGGGTAGTTATTATTATTCTGGTTTTCCAGATGACCAACTGAAGCTTAGAAAAGTAATCTGTCCCTGGTCACAAAGGAAGAAAATGGGAGAAACCGGATTGGAATACAAGTTTGTCCAGCTCCAGAGAGAGGGGCAGCTGAGTGGGAACATCTGAGTGTCACCTGACTACCTCTCTGCTCCTAAGGCTCCCCAGAGGTCCCCCACATGACAGGGGTTATAGATGATAACAACTTTCATCTCACACAAATGTGGCACCAGCCAGGGACAGGACATCTGGGGTCCCCTACACCTACCCCCAAACCAGAGTCTTCACTGTGAGCACCCAACCCCCAGGACCAACAGACAGATCCCACCTGAGCACCTTCAGCTCAATGCCTGACTCTGGGCACAAGCAGCTCAAAAGAAGGAAGCACAGATAAGAAACAGACAAAAAATCTTTACACCTCGAAGTCAAAACCTAAAATAGCCTTTGTTGGTCTGAATGGGCTATGTGGCTTTGCTCACAGGTGGGCTGAAATCTGGCTGAGCTGAGGCAAAGCTGCAGGAATAAGGAAGCTGAGTTGAAGCAGAAGGTCAAGAAAGCACACCCACCACATCAGTCAGGGAAGAATGAAAAGCAGCTTGTGAATCCAGTCTGTGTCCTCCTGACTGTTTATAGGCCACAAAAGCCCCTGAAGGTCCATTTCCCAGGAGGTAGACAAGCAAATGGAAAATGAAGACTCCAGTCAGAAATGATCTCAGAACAGAAGGAAGGTTATACACACACACTAGCTGTGGGACCTCAGGCAAGTGGCTTAACTGCTCTGAGTCTCTGCTTCCTTGTCCATAAAATGGAGATTAAAAATAGTACCCACTGCATGGATTTGTTGTGATGTGAAAGCTCCCAGCACAGTGCTCAGCACACAGGAAGAACAAGCTGTTGATTTTATTATTCCAAAGAGAAAAAATAATCATGGTGACACTTCCCAAGCTTTGGTCATGAGCCATCATAATTTTGTATGTCTGTGTACCACCTATTAGTATAATATGATTGACTGGGCATTGTGCTTGAACTCAACATGCCACTTTTACTTCAATAAACCTATTTTAAAACAAAACTCCGTAACAGTGTGAACTC